AGTGAGATACATGTCTGGAACCTTTTCATGGATAAAAGAGTAGGACTTAAGTCAGGAGTCAACTTCAGTGAATTACTGCAGTATGCAGCCATGAGGAGAGACTCCATCTTTCACTGATGCTAAAGCACCTCTCTAGGAGGAGAGTATCTGGAAAAAAACAAAACAAACAAACAAACAAAAAAACCCAAAATAAAAAACAAAAAAACACACCATGTGGCAACAATTCCAGTGGAGTGGGGACAGAGAGCACAGAAATGACTGAAACATGTTGAGTCAATAAGTCAAAGAGGGGAAAGAGAGATAACTTCATGGTTAGGAGCACCGGCTGCTCTTCCAGAGGATCAATCCATATTTGATTCCCAGCATCCACATGGCAGCTCAGAATCTGTAACTCCAGAGTGAGGAGATCTGATGCCCCTTCTGGTCTTTATGGGCACTGTACAATATGGTACATAGACACACATAAATGAAAAACATACACATACATAAAACAAATGAAAATGTAAAAGGGAGGGCTTGGGCGATGATTCAATGGCTACAGCACTGACTATGAAAGTATGAGAAATGAAGTTTAGATATACAAACCGACTGAGTGGGTGTGGTACCCAAACTATAATCCCAGTACTTGAGGGTGGGTACCAGTGATCCCTAGAGGAAGTTCTACCCAGATTAGCCATATTGACAAGCTCTGAATACAATTGAGAGACCCGAGTCATTGAATAAGGGGGAGAGCATTCAAGGGAGGCTATTAGTTCCAACCTCAGGCCTTCATATGCATGCATACTCAAACACCTGTACCCATACACATGTGAACATGCACACACACACGCACACACAGGAGGCACATCACTACATCCCTGATGCATAGAGTACTGTATCATGCAGAGTACTCAAGGACAGCACAGAGCATGTCCTTAGAGACTCATAGCCTAATAAAGTTTGGAAAATAAGCAATTATTAAAATACATGCAATCTATTTGTTTCCTCACTAATGTATAAGGCTTTTAAGAATGTAAATATTCTGAACCAGGAAGATGTCTCAGGGGGTAAAAAGACTTGCTGTGCAGCCTGATAACCTGAATTCGATCTTGAGAATCCACACAGTAGAAGAAAGTCCTACAGATATCCTCTGACTTCCATATGTAAGTGCCACACACACACACACTAATAATAAATAATAATACAGAATATTTTTAAAATGCTAATAAAATGTAAGCGTTCTGTCTGGCGTATGGCTTCTTTTAAAAACAACAAAAACCTTGTCAAAATAGGTGCGGTCCATTGGTCCTCTGTTTCTCCCTAAGGCTTTGCATCTATGAAAGCCATCTGCAAACGTTCTGTTCTCTGACCCACAGCTTGTCTTCCTGTGGAACAACCTGGATTGGCAGGCATAGCCCAAAATGAGATTTTAAAAACTCAGCCACTGACCAAAAGCTATGCAGTTGATGATTCAGGTTAAATTTTTGTTGAGGATAATCATCTTTAGGACAACAACAAGCCCAGAAGTAACAGAACAAATGAAAAACCATGGAGAAACAGAGTTCTTGTACTTTTTTATGGAGTTCAAGCATGAAGTTCACATTTAATTTCCTCATGTTCTATGCTCAACAACCCTCAATGATCACTTTGAGTGAGTAGTTTATATTCCTCCCTCCCTGGAATGATATAGAACTTTATCACTGCCTACAACTAAACATCCTATAATCTAAGAGAGCTGATAAACTGCTTAACCAAGCCCTTAAAGTAAAAAGAGGTCAAATAAACAGTAAAGATACTTTTCCTATTGAAAGTGGTGTCAAACCAAAAACATTCTAATGGAAGCTGTAATTTCAAGACCATAAACCCTTTATTGAATTTTATTTGTTCCCAGCTAAAGAGAACTGAAGATTACTGTTTGAGACTGTCTATTGATGTGATGAACACCATAAACAAAAGCAACTTGGGGGAGGAAATGGTTCATTCTACCTTACAGTTTGTAAGTTCATTACTGAGGGAGGATCCTGGAGGCAGCAGCTACTGCATAGGCCATGGAGGAGTACTGTTAACTGGCTTGGTCCTCCTGGCTTGCTCAGTCTGCTTTCTTATACAAATCAGGACCACCTGCCCAAGGGTGGCAATGCCCCCAGTGGATGTGCTGTACCACATCAATCATGAATCAAGAAAATGCATTACATACTTGCCTACAGGCCATCTAATGGAGGCATTTTCTCTATTGAGGTTCCTCTTCCCAAATATCTCTAGCTTGTGTCAAATTGACAGAAACAACCAACCAGAGCAATCACTTAGATATTTAATGCATTTTTCTTGAACAGTTGTTTGAGAAAAATTTTCTTTTTCCTTAAAATCTTTCCTTACTTTTTCCACAAAGGGATGAATATAGGGGACTAGGGAGATGCTGGGTGGGGTGGGGTGAAGTGCTTTCAGTACAAGCAGGAGGCCCAGAGTTCAAATTCCCAGCATCCATGGAAAAAGTCAGGTTGGGGGCAGGGAGAGGAGATGGAGTCAGGTGTATCCCTGAAGTCTGATGGCTAGCCAGTTTAGCCAGTCAGTGAGTTCCAGGTTCAGTGAATTCCAGGTTCAGTTCCTGTCTCAAGAAATAAAAAGTGTGGAGCAATGTTGACTTTGTCTTTCATATGTAAGTGCACACATAACCCCCCCACACAATCCCCACCACCAACTAATCAATAAAAGGATACTATTTTAAGTCTTCTTTCTTTAAAAACCATAAAAATTAAGCCATGGTTTTCAGTAGTGATAGACTGAGTCCTGTAAATCTACCAACAAAATGGGATCAGTCAGAAAACTGTACAAGCAGGCAAGCAATGTCTGTGAAAACACTACCCCTGCAGCTAGCTGGGAGACCTGGATTGCTGACATGGCATCTGAGGTTCACATTCCCAAGGACATCCAGACTCCCCAAGACAGCTCTCAACCATCCCATCTTGACTGGTCGCCAAACCAACTTGTTACTAGCTGTGGAACTATGAGAAACTACAGAAAATAAAAACAGAAACAAGGGAAAGCAGAGGTGTCAGAGATAGACTTCAAAATGAGCATGCATGGTACAGAACTAAAAATGATAAAAAAAAAAAAAATCAAAAAAGCTACAAGAACCTAAAAGAAAAAGGAACGGATGATGAACTTCAGTTGGTAGATTTAGCATCACAATGGACTTGTCAGCCAGGGCTACAGAGTGAAATCCTGTCTTACAAAAAGATCCAACAGGAAAGAAACATCACAAGGTATGAACTCTAAAAGCAATGGGTAAAAGCACTATAGTGTCAGCAATACAGAGTTGAGGAAACAGGCAGAAGCAACAATAGCTGCTAAATTCCCAGAACAAATCAAAGATCAAACAAGGAAGCCTGTGGCCCTCAAGAAGACTCACAACAAACACAAAAATCCCTTGATGCTTAGATCATGGGGCCTCTCAGGGCCCCCAGAACTGTTCTGAACCTCTTGGGTCCACACTTGCCAGTCTCACCCTGAATCTCCATGTTACACAAGATTGAGCATTATGCACTCTGACTGGCCTGCCTCTGCAGGGCTGCTAGAATGGGACAATACCTACCCTTGCTGCTTTAAGAGTAGAAGATCATTAGGGCCCAGAGAAACATCTGAGCTTCAAGCTGTGTTCATCCCCACAGCAGTAGCACACAGGAAAACACCATATGCTGGCCACCAGGACTGTCAATCTACATGTGTCACAATAATTAGCAGATGAAATACCCCCCCCTTTTTTTTCTTTTTCTTTTCTTTTTTTTTGAGACAGGGTTTTCCTGTGCAGCTCTGGCAGCCCTGGAACTCCCTCTGGGCCAGGCTGGCTTTGCAATCAAGAGATCCACCTGCCTCTGCCTCCCATGTGCTGAGATTAAAGGTGCACAATCTACCTAGGCTCAGTGAAACCCTCTTTTCAACATTAAAATTCAATCACAAGATTTTCACTTTTTTGTAGCACTGGAGATCAAATTCAGGGACTTGCACATACCAAGCAGGGTTACTGCTGAGCTACATCCCTGGCTCAATGACAAGATTTTAAAAAGATAGCAGGAACAAGATCTGTGCTTAATAAAATGAAATCTCTTGATTTGCACTGTACATAAAAACAGGGCCCTGCCAAAGTCTCAAACTTCAGTTTAGCACAGATTATCTTAAAATCTATTAAGGACCAAAAACAAGCAAGTGAAATTCTCATTTCTGAGGGGAAAGGAGGGAATGGCAGATACAAGCTTAACCTGGAAATGATTCAAATGAGGAAGCTGTACTTAATTTACCACTCTAATTCTACAATCAGCTTTCAGTATCAATGGATCCCAGTGTCAATGAAGACTCATAACAATAACAGACGCCAAACAAACTCCCATCCTCACCCTACATAAAAGATCTCAACGTGCTGGGAAGCTTAAACAAATCACACGCCAAGAAATTTCTATTGTTTTTCAAATCCATAGTGACAAAAGCATGACCCTTGACCTCTCCATACCTCTATCTAAATCAGTACTTCTAGCAAAGCCTAGCCAGTAGAGTCTTCAGCTATCTTCCTGGCCTATCAGGGTGGTCCCCCCTACCATACTGACTTCAAGTTCACCATATACTCCACAAGCTTTATGACTACTGGCCTCAGGGTTTTATGTCAGGCCTTGAATTATTCGAAAATGAAGGATACCTGAGTGCTTTACTCCTATCTAGTGCATATTTTTCGAATTAGCATAGAGCAGCAGACACTGGTCTGCACCGTGCCTGAGAGCAGCGGTAGGCTTGTTCATAGCCAGGCATATGCTGGCAAAGTGCTATGAGGAAGCTAGGTTTGTCAGTGCCAACACTCCATCCTTGGATAGCTTCAGACCTCTCAGGGTTATATTGAAACTGCCCACATTCACTGGTAATTGATTTCTCACATAAACCCATGGTTAGTAGAATAATTTGCCTCAGTAAGCCAGAGTAGAACATTATGACATCTGAGCATTCGAAGGTATGGAATTATATTTTCATCCACTGACCTTTTGTCCTTTCCCACATTTCTTTGGTTTCTCTTGAGGTCTGACAAGGCCTGTACAAGAGCTGCCTGAAGTGTCAGGTTTCACTGGTCCGTTTTTAACACCTAAAAGCAAGTGGAATGAAGGTTAGTTAGAAACAACATGGACTGAATGCAAAGGTAAGTTAGGCCCGTGCCTAATGGAAATAGGATACAGCAGACTCTTGTCAATCAAACCATATCCAAAGATCTAGTTAGAGAGAAGGGGGAGGGCAACTCAGCAGATAATGCACTTGCCAAACAAGTCTAAGGACAAGGATGTGGAGTCCTAAACCCATATAAACACCACGTGGGTGTGATACCCACTAGTAATGCAAGTACTCAGAAAGCTGAAGCAGAAGGACCCCAGAGCAAGCTGACTAGCCAGATCTCTCTCTCTCTCTCTCTCTCTCTCTCTCTCTCTCTCTCTCTCTCTATTTTAATTAAACTAACAATATCACACACCAGAATTAACCAGAACCAAACTCTATGCAGCTTAATGACTAGCCACATAGGTGAGCACTGGGTAGGAACAATGGCAGAAAACTGGACTAGATACTGTGCGCATGTGCTCCCACACATGTGACTACACACAGACAGTACATTCATATACAAGCTCTAAAAATAAAGTAAAAAAAAAAAAAATCTGTTTAGAGGTAGTAGGTAATTCACTGCAAACATCCCAGCAAATTTTCAAGGTTGGTCACAATGCTTCACCACACTTTCAAGTTTGCACCCATGTTCCTTAGACACCATTCAAAACAATTCTTAACCACAAAATAATTTAAAAAAAAATAAACTTAGCTTGTCAGAGAAGATACCTGTTAGATTACAAAATAACAATAAAACCCAGCTTTGGACTTAGTTTTTCAAGAACAGTGTTTAATACAAAGCTTTAGGTTTTAATCTGCATATATTTAATTTTGCTCCCTGCCAGATTTTCACATTAAACCAACTTCTTGCCACAAAAATACACCAGAGAATTCTGATGGGAAATGTTCTTCTGTGTATATGTTTGTCTTATTGGTTGATGAATTTAAAACACTGATTGGCCAAACAAGATGATAGGTAGGATTAGGAGACAAGGAAAATTCTGGGAAGTATAGGCAGAGAGGAGTCGTCATGTGATCCCAGAAAGTGATGTAACTGGGTGGAAACTGCCACTAGCTAACCATAGAGGTATGTACAGACAGGCAGGAAGTGACATAGGTGGGCAGAATCAGGATATGAGCAGAAACAAATAGGAAATCACTCTCTTCTCTTCAGAGTAGCTGATCAATCAACAAGCAGGACGCCAGAGTAAAAGATCCCCGGAAAGACAAGACCACGTTCGAATACTTAGATTAATAGAAATAGGTTAATAATTAAGTCAGAGATAGCCAATAAGAAACCCTAGTCACCAGCCAAGAGTTCATAACTAAAACAGTGTCTGTGTGCTTCTTTGGGGGCAGAGGAGGGCAGAACCCACTGTATTTCATGTGGCTCAGTGAGACACCAGCTGCACAGAATGGACAGCCTTGCATGAGCTCTCTGTTCTTATTTTTCTTCAGGAGTCTGCCTACTTTAAAGATTAGTTGGGCTTTTTAAGAAGAACATATGTGGGGCATACATGAACCACAGTTATGATCTTGGCTGGCAGCAGCTGCGGCAGGTGATGCCAGTTGAGCTGCATATCCTCCTACCTGTGTACTGATTCATGGGCAAAACCAATATGAGGCTGCCAGGGAAGGTGACCCAGTGCAGAAGGCACTGCCCATGCACATGCTAGGCATACAAATAAATATGCTCCAAGTCAAAATAATAAAAACACTTCCAGAAACTAAAAGGTATACATAAGAAAGTCTACCATAAAGGTAGGACAATAGGATAAAACCCAGAGTGACCCAAGTTTGAAGAGTCACACTTGAAAACTCCTATTTATGCTTTGAAAGCAGAATTCTATCTAAACAGAAATCGGGGCCAGCCAGGTGCCTCAGTGAATAACGGACCCGGGGAGTCCAAATCCCAAACCCTATGTGGCAGAAGGCAAGAACTAACTCCCCTTCGAGCTGTCTTGATCTACATATACACACACAACACCAATGCACAAATGCCCACCCCCAATAAATAAGTGTAAAAATGAATCAGTAAACTAAAGAAAAAGAGAAATAGAATAATAGTTAAGGGTTCTCCAGAATTCAAACTAGATGTTACTTGTATCCTGGGCCCTATAAACATTTTAAGGGCAACATTCTTTGCCTATAAATGTCTAAATTGGATCCCTTTGGAGACAAACCAATCACACACTAAACCCCTTCCTCTTTAGCTGTCTTTTAAATGTCATGTCTCTCTCAATCCTGGATAACTGCCCCATCCACTGAAGCCCTCAGCTGCTAAAAGAGGTGGATGGACTGTAGCAAGCAGGTAAAGGGTTAACGGGTCTGCCTCTAAGACATAGCAGACTTTCGCACTTTGTGAGTGACACCAACATTTCTGTATTGCTTCCTAATGCTTTTTAACAATCTTTTTTTTTTTTTTTTAAGTCTCTCAGCTCTTAACAGGCATGGAACGAATTCCATTAAAAACAAATGGAATTTGCTTTTAACCATATTTCAGACCTGAGATTACAAGAAGTTAAGAGGAAGAATATCCATAAGAGGACAGAGGACACTGGTCATACATAGTGTGAAGTAAGCAGACAGCTCTCAGTCACTTATACCTCACATACTCTTCCACAGGAGGTTGCTCACATTTCTTCTAATGTCATCAGGCAACCAAAGCAGCTGAGGGCAGAGTAGCTCTGAGCTGGCTGTGGGGCCAGTCTGGTGCCACCTCCCCTGGGCTATGCCTGTCTGCTCCTGCAGCGCTGCTTTTGGCAGGTTGTTACACCTGTGATCCCCTGGGTGATAACATCATGTCCTGTAACACCATCCACTCCTATACTGCTAAGGCAATGTCCTTTCTCTAGACCTCCTGTCTGTGTATGGACAGATGGAATCAGCTAACAGGTTATCTATTTTGAGTCTTGGGTAAAGCCTGGCCACCTGCCTACAGTCATTCTCTGGCAATCTGCTGGTCCTCCACATAGGTTTGATGACTGCTTTGAGACGCCCTAACTGTTGACTTGATAACGAGGATTAATCTTCTGTTTCAGAGACTTTAAAAATTTTGATCTCAACTAGATGCTGATAATTGGCTTCTGGTGAGGGCCCACCCACCTGGCTTCCAGATGACAGCCTTGTTGCTTCCACTTCACGTGGCAAAGAGGGCAAAAAGATTCCTGGTATCTCTTACCCTCTTCATGAAACACCAGTTACTTCATTAGGGCTCCAGACTTAGGATATCATCTGAATGGAATTTCCTTCCAAAGGGTCAACCTCCAAATACTCTCATCCAGGATAGGGTTAGAGTTTGTGGGATGGGGGACGTTGAAGTGGGGGTGGACACAGAAATCTGCCCAAACTGTAAATCTCAGACACCTTCTCATTTTCATTCTAGCCTCACTGTTCGAATTGTGTTGTCCTAGTTATCATGAAATAATCAAATAAAAAATTTAAAAAAGAATTTAACAGAAAGGTACAATGGAACAGGAGTGTAATTCCAGCACCAGAGAGCAGTGGTTCTCAACCTTTAGTTCACCATCCCTTTTGTGTGTGGGGAGGGGGGGAGCTCGACTTTTATACAGGAGTTATCTAAGATCATCAGAAAACACATTTACAACTCATAACAGTAGCAAAATTACAGTTATGAAGTAGTAATGAAAATAATTTTATGGCTAGAGGTCACCACAACATGAGGAACTGTATTAAAAGGTGGCAGCTTAGGAAGGTTGAGAACCACTGATCTAGAGGCTGAGGTAGGGAGACTGCTCCAAGGCTAGGCTGGGCTACAGAGCAAGACAATGTCTCAAGAAACAAAAACAAATAGAAAAGAGCCCTAGCTCCAACATTTTCATAATTATGTAAGTCTCAATCTCAAAAAGTACAAGGGGGTTGAGTGGACAGACAGAGTTAACAGATGCCACTTGCCTCAGACACAAGTCCACAAGTCCGTTTTCAAATGCCCTGCTAACTGCCACCGTAGATGGAACAAATGAGCTCTAATTGATGACATCAAGTGGTCAGAAAGCTTCCCATTGGATAAACTTGTGGATTCAAGAATGGATTGGCTGGATATTACAGGGCACTCCCTAAACCATGTGTGAGCAGGGTACAGAAAATCCAGTATTAGCTGAAGCTTGTATCCCTAGAGACCATACCCACATCTTGATCCCTAAATGACCTATAATAAAGTACAGAGTCAAAAGATATCCGATAGTCTAAGGCAGACAAAATTTATAGAGGCTTGCCTCTAATAGGACAGTATGTTAAGGGACAGAGGCTGGGCCTTCAGCAGATCTGTCTACTTGGAGGACTTTCCTCCATTTTGTTGGCCAAGAAATGTTTATAAATGTTTATGAAACCTGCCTTCCTTAAGATCTGGTAGCCAGACCTGCTGGAATGACAGTGGTCCATCATCAACCCCCAACATCTGGTATACCATAAAAGGATCCAATATTTGGAAATGGCCAAACTGCATAGATAAGTGAACACATGTGTATAAAACGCTGACATGTAAAATTCCACCACACGCTGCACAGGAGAAAATGTGCATTAAATCAATGGCCAGACGTGGGGCATAGTGTTGAAAGGACCAACCCTACTGGTATTCAAGTGAGACATATGGAGCTCCTGCCATCAGTATTGTTAGTGAAAGACCAGTAGGAACTCTATCGTGTACTAAGGTGCACAGGACAACTGGTAGACATTATCTACTGGGTGATTCAAATTGACTTCGTGTGGGAGCAAGCAGAGGATGCCATCTCAATAATGACCAAGCTGCTGTTCATGCTTCCTGTCTTGCAGCATCAAGTTAAAATGAAGCTTGCTGTGTTGCTACATACCCATAGTCTAAGCTGCCTGGAGGCTGACACAGGAGGATTACTAACTGGAGGTCAAGTGTACTATATAGTAAGATCTTGCTTCCAAAATAAATAATTAAGTACAATAAAACAGAAAGCAAGACCCTATCCCCACACAAATTGAGTTTAGACATTTCTTTCTGCATTGACTACAGTATTTTCCAGATCTGATAAAAGAGCAAAGCAATCAATATCCTAATTGCGAGATCACACTACCTGCACCATCCAAAAGTTCTGCTTAGTTTCCCACTGCCAGGTGATGCATGCACAAGATAAGAAGGTACACACGGAAAAGCAAACCTGCAGTTACATAAACACTGCCTTAGGACCCAACATGCTTGAAAACGGTCTCCTTATGAACTGGCATCAGACTTGCACAGGACCAGTGAAAGCACCCTCAAGGATGAGATACCTTATCAGAGGTAAAGAATTATTTGCAATCAAGTTTGATGAAGACTCACTTACTGGAGGCCCATTGAAATCACAGGGTCACTCATTCTCCCCCTCCAAAAGAAATCTGTTCAAGGGCAGACACGAATTCCAAATACTATACTCTATTTTGAATTTCATCAACAAAAATTTTATAAAAATGTCTTTCTCTAATTATCTATATTTATATATTTATATCCTTTTGACCCATTACAGGAAATGTCACTGGTCCTCAATACAGATTATACTAGAGAAACGAATATCTACTTTATCTATATCTGACATGTTGTTACATGTTTTTAAAAGGCCAATTTAGGGCAACAAGATAATATGGTTCTATGTATGCAAGAGAAATCCTTTAAATATTATTTCATTTGTATTTTTATACACACAGTTATCTGGAAGGAAATACTGTTGACAGTAATTGCTTCTAGCAAACACACTAAAACCACAATTTGTTCTTCAAAGTATCCAAGGTTACAATGAAAACAAATCAGATTTGGTTATTCCAGCTCAAAATCCCCAGCGGCTTCTCATCACACTATAAAACGGACTGGAACTCCCTGCCTCGCTGGGGAGGGAGGTCCTGAGGATCAGATTCCTGCCACATTTGTGATCATCATCCCCACCTCAGAGGTTCAGTGGCTTGTTGCTGCATGGATCTCCTCTTTCCTACAGGACCTTCGGTCATTTGTGCTTACCTCCAGTAAACACAAACATGCCCTCTCAATTGGCCTGCAGCTAATAAACCTCCTTAGAGAAGCCTTCTGGATGCCTGATGGAACCACCTATACTTTTGGGGTATTGCTGTTTTTCTAATTACTCGCTGTCCGGTCCAAAGGAAACTTCAATTCCTAAACTTAAAAACGCAGTCCATACATTCAGAAATGAGATCAACTTAGACTGTAGGAGGATTTCTGGTTGTTAGATAAAGCCAGCATTCCTCAGGAACTTACTTGTGACACTGGTTCCCATCTGCCAAAGGAGTCAATTTCCTTATGTCTGGCAGAAGGGAAATATGGCTCCACTGACATATATTGGTGGTTGCATATCAAAGTTGATGCTGACCTCCAGGCTCCCTCAGCATCACAAGGACCTATTATATATTTCAAAGTCTAAACTAGCATCCTATCCTTGTCACTTCCACTCCTTCCAGACAGCACTTGTCCTCTTTATAAAGCTGAGGTCCACCCCGACCCCTGCCACCCCCTGCTATTCCCACTACTTTCTGTCTCTTCTCTGGTTATCCTTTTACACTCTTATCCTAGTCTGCCATCTCCACTCTTCTCTCCTGCTTCCCTAACCTTGGCCATGTCCAGTCTACTTCTTTATCTCTCTGTTCTGCACTTTTCCAGATGCCTCTGACTGTTCTCTCTCATATCGTGTACCCTAAATACACTTACTAGCTGACACCATGTCCTACTTAGATTTACCATCTGTCTTCTAGGACTCTAGAGACTGTTGGGGGATAGGGGTATACACTGTTTCCTTCTCTGCTGTCTCCTTACAAACTAGAAGTATGTGTGAGACATAACAGGTCTACAACTACTCTTCAATGGTAATTCAAGAATTAATACAGGCAGGAAGTGGGGACTTGAGATGGGAAAGTTTATTCTTAACAATGGAAATTTCTTATTTATTGTTCATAAAATTAGAGAATAGAAATGTGAAGAATTAATGATTATACTCCACTGTTTCAATGTCTATTAGTGACATTTTTGGTTAACTTTCTTTTGAAACCTTATTGCATACTATCTTAGAGTCAACAAGTGCAAGAACAAGTGCAAGTGAGATGAAAGCAGACACAAAAGCCTTTCATTTCAACTTGAGGGACCTGGAGGGTCTAGATGATGCTGACAGCAGCCCTCCTGGCTCCAGTTGGGGCAGGTACGCAATTACCGTTTCAGCCCAAGGATTTATGATTCTATCTATGGTGGATCCCCAAAGAGTTGACTGGCCCGAGTCCAGACTGAGCTGACGGTGGACAATGCAAAATATCCACGAGTCTTACTCATATAAAAGAAAATGCTTGGGTTTAGGCTAGACAGGTGTTATCTTGCCCTAGAAGCCCATGTTTGTCTTGCAGGAAGACACAACAATTTATAAAACATTGCCATCAGAGTCAAACTGAGTCATACCGGTCCCTGTCTGTGCACCAGCAAGCCAACCCCCTTTCATTATCACCAAACTTCTCAATTTCCTCCAGTGGTCCTGGAGGGCCACCCGTGCTTGTGCCCTTTGCTATCTGTTTCTGAAGCCATAACCAAATTCTTAATTGAACAAAATGTCCTAAAAGAAAAATTTGTTCTTATTGGACATTGGCCAAAGTTGCTTCAAAAGTAAAACACTGATGACAAATTTAAAAACTTACTTTTTCACACTTCTCTTAGAAAAATCATGGCTGATTCTCCCTAGAGTTCTACAGTAGAAACACGTCAGGTTCAAAAGGGCAAGCCCATTGACTTGGTCCATACTGGACTCTATGCCCAGCTCAAGAGCTCAACCTGGACTATAGGCAGCTTTCTGATGACCAGACAAAAGCTGGAATTCCTTAGGAACCTGTGAAATGTCATTTTCCTTATGTCTAGCAGGACACAGGGCTCCCTCCAGACTCCCTCAGTTCCTATTCACAAGCACTTACTGTACTAAACACCTACTCTATCTAGCATTCTGGCCCTTCTCACCTCAGATCCCAGCTCTCTTTACATCCCTAGCCCCAGGTACTCCTGCTAACCTCGCTGCTCTCTCTTTCCCTGTTTCTTACTCCCTCAGCACTCCTGTTCTGCCATTCTCTCTTGTCTGGTAGACAGCCCTGGCCATGCACAGTCTGTTTCTCTTTCTCTGCTCTGGACTCTTCCAGATGCCTCTGGATACTTTCTCTTGCTTATTTACAATAAAAACCCTCCCTAATTATGGAGTGCTAATGTTGCCAGTTTCTTTACTGTACCTAACACATACAAAACCCTTCCTAAATAAACCTGAATGAAAAAAAAAATTCCTCTATCAGTCACCTCTTTTGTATAGTCATACTAAGTAACAGAGGCACACAGAAAGGCACAAGCCAACCATTAAACATTACTGCTTTTTTTTTAAATCCACAAGGACAAAGTCCGGGGAAGTGTATTCATGGCAGCAGATTTGACCAGAAGGTTTAGGACCTGCTACCTATCCCTAAAGACCATCACTGGGAAATATCAAACATATGTTCCTGAAAAGGGGAGGGGGAACAACTTAAATTATGAAGTTGTGACAAATTTAAAATAGGAACACAGTATTATATACTGGCAGAATAGAAAGACTCAGAAAATGATATCCACATACTTTCACTGTATCCTGTAGACTTGTTCTCCTTTTCTTCTGCAGATTTTTCTATATTACAATCCCCTCCAAAATTGAAGCTGTGTGCTTCTCCTTCAGAAGAGGCCAACGCTGGAGGAGTGGTATTGTCTTTTGGGGAGCCTTTTACATCAACTGGTTCTCTTTCTTCCTTACTACCCCCTTTCGAGGGCATGGAGCAATGAGCAGGGCTGTTGTGGGTATTAGCATGGGTGCTTCCCTGTAGGGCTGTGTCCTCCCTCAGCTGAGGGTCAGGCTGCCTGCAATGCTCTGGGCTATCTTTAGCAGATGTTTCCACAACTGTACTCACTTCCTCCTTGTCGGGTTTCTCAAGACTAGAAGTACTTCTTGAAACTGAGTCAGTAATGCTGATGGATCTGGGTTTGTCACCAATGGAGGTAAAATCACACATTTCCAGTATGCTTCTTCGCTCCCACTTTGAGAGACTTCTGCAGTGGAACAGAGAAGGGCTTGATAATGCCTGAGCCTCAGGAGGAAGAGCCTCTGAATTCCTTTCCTTGAGATTATCAGGGGAAAAGTAGTCCTCATAAGAGGAAGCCCCAACATCAGGAGTCCCCAGGATGGGGCTGGTGGTGAACTGTGGTCTATGGTCAGATTTGAACAGCTGTATCGACAAGGCAGAATTCCTATTGTACCTCTTCTTCTTGAGTTTTCCTTTTGGAGGTGAACCCAAGTCTACTGGCCTTTTTCTCTTGGCTGAACAACTTTTGGGTTCATCTATGGCATCTATGTTCCCTGTGGTGGCAGGGGACAGACAGAGCTTCTCATCAGACATCCCCTGAGACACATGTGCAGCTTGCTCTCTCTCCAGCTCAGCCTTCTCACCTGCAGCATCTTTCTGCCAGCTGATGTCCTCCTTTGGAGGACGGTCCTTAGCTTTCTGAGGACTTGGTTGACAGAGGTGGTTGGGAGACAATGAACTGTAAGAACTGCTTATCTTCAACACAGGTGAGGCAGAGCATGCCATCCTGGTCATCTCATTAACAGATCTTCCCAGTTTCCTTTCCTGATTTCCAAGGAGACCATCAAAAGATGAGTGTGAACAACTGGCAAAGGATTCATCTGGAGAGGTCAATAAAAAAATCATCTTTAAAATGGCAATTGATCATAAACTACCTTGTTTTCTTTTAAAGACAGAGTCTCTGGTCCTGCCTCCCTCCCAAATCTGTTTTAGAGGTGTGTGCCACCATGCCTGGCTAAGCTTTTGTCTTCTATGAAGCATTTCCCCGGATAAATACCATTCAGCTCCTCTTCCCAGCAACCTCTCTCCCCAGCTCTTCTGGCAAGTTCTCATGCTTCATTTACACTTCAAAAGAACCTCATGAGACCCTCAGTATTCTGACCTCCCATGAAGTGTGCACTTTACTCAGGAGTAATGATAAGATTACCCCACCACCTAAAGTCTCCAGGCTCCTCACATCTGGCCCCATCTTTGTTCCACATTTTACTGTGGGTAAACACATCTCATCCTTCAAAATCCCCTTAGCGTTGTTGTCACCTGTGAACCTCTTTACCTGGTCAGGTCACACTGCTACACCCTCCCATGACACAGCAATATTCATCACAGCATAAGGTTACCTGTCCTCTCATAACACTGAGGTACTAGAGGGCAGTCACCATTTTTGCTCACTTGGGAACTTGTGGTCATCACTCAAGGCTGGTTCTCCACTGGCACAATGCTGGCTGGCTGAGGGCTTCCATTTTAGAGAAACTACACACTCAGGAGGTAATACTGGTATTCTAACTTTTGCTTGAGACAATGTAAGTTCAACTTTAAAAAGAACAAAGCAAGCCGGACGGTGGTGACGCAACCTTTAATCCCAGCACTCCAGAGGCAGAGGCAGGTAGATCTCTGCAAGTTGGAGGCTAGCATGGTCTACAGAGTGAGTTCCAGGATAGGCTCCAAAGCTACCGAGAAACCCTGTCTTGAAAAACCAAAAAGAACAGAGTGGAGGCCACACAGACACACCCTCCTTGACATTGTTCTTTGGGAGGGGAGGGAGCCAAGGCCAGCCTGACACTGGGCCCTGTGGACATACTTTGAAGGCAGCAGCTGAAGGGACACATGAGATTTACTCTTAGGAACTGAATGAAATAATCACTTTTCAAAGAACCATGACACACTGTGGTATATCATTAAGAGAAAACATTGTTAGACTACTTAAGTCAGAAGCCTGGGTCTATCACTCACAAAGACAGGCTCTTACATAATCCACCTGACCTCTCCATGTCCTGGTTTTCTCTCTGGTAAATGGGAATGCAGATGCAGCCTAGTTCACTGAGGGTGTGTGTGTGTGTGCGTGTGCGTGTGCGTGTGTGTGTGTGTGTGTGTGTGTGTGTGTGCGCAGAGAAAATGAAATAAGCATTCTTATCACTATTTGTTTCCAACAGAGAAATCTGAGCAGAAAATGAGGAGATAAATGGGTAAATAATCCAGAACATGCAGGAGAGAATGCCAGGATATATCACACACTAATAGGAAGAAAGCCTAGCTCAATCTCCTCTTTTAGCTTTCCAAAATATGCACAGTAGCTGAAGAACTTATGAACATAGTTCTTTCAGGGTTTCCCATGGAATTAAGGGAGAAAAGTATAAGGAACTTGACACATGAAAGCTAAACAATCTTCAAAAAAGTCAAGGGCTGTCATACTACTTTATACACACTCTTTTCAATAATATACTTCATAGGTTAATTAAACATGAAACGTTTCCTCTTTAGTGCTTACTGTTCTCAGAGAGGTGTGTTTTACACTGCATTTAGCAGTTCACATGTAGTCACAAGGATTTCTAAAAATAAGCAACTTATTCCACAGCAAAAGACCAAATCTCCAGGAAGGAACCTATAGACTTCAAGCAGGAGATCCTGGCTTTGTATCAATTCTACAATAATACCAAACTTCAAGAAGAAACATGAGTTGTAGTTTTACTCAGTTTCCCGAGTATTTAGAAGTAACAACATGAAAACTGGGCATAGTGGTGCATGTCTGTAATCTCAGCACTCAAGAGGAGACAAGAGGATTGCTCTAAGTTGGAGGCCAGCTGAGTCTACATGGTAAGTTCCATGCCAGCCAGGGCTCCACAGTAAAAGTCTATCTCAAAAACTACAAGTGTGAGTGGACACACACACACACACACACACACACACACACACACACACACACACCCCTTTTAATTCATAACTTGGTCACAAAAAGAAAAAAAAAATTACAATTTTACCTGAACGTGAAGATTCATGAGCAATGTTCAAAGATGCTTCACACGGAGTGATATTTGGGTTCTGTTGAGACTGTTCAAACATCTGGGAAGCTGATAAAATAATAACATGTCACTGAACTGGACCACAGAATTTCCTACTGGACAGAACAACAGCATACCTATCTCTTCTGCTCTTGATCCCCTATATACATTAAATGACTCCTAACTATATACTAAGCTTAATATGCTATAACGAGTAGAAAAACTATGTGAAGAATATTGTAGATATAAGACTGACAAAAATGAATTCCTATCAATCACTGCCCCAAAAGCATTAACTTACAGAATCTTATGTGAAATGAGAGTTTGAAAATCCAACTTGCCTGAAACTTAAACCAAATAAATTGAATGTTTTCAGTTTGCTTGATAACCACTGAAGTTCCTTATATTTACCCAGTGCTGAAGTAGACATGGGACAATATCTGTCACAAGGTGAGGGAGGGCTATTACTGGTTTAGATCGTGTACACAACAAAGAATTATCTCCAAAAGTCAATAGTGTTGTGGTTGGAAAACTTTCAACATATCATAGGAAATATCTAGGTCATCTATTACGAGAGCTGAGCCATAGTTCATATGGTTATGATATCTTTATTCAGATAAATACTAGCCAAGCACAAACCAGAGCGTGCCAGGGGCAGTGAGGCAACTACGCCAGAGAGAGAGGCTCCCATGTGCTTTGTTGCCCCTTAAGAACCCTGACCTTAGGGCGTGGTCAGGCACACCTGTAGCCAGCCTCTAACAGGCATGGCTTACAGTCCCCTACAATTCCCCTTTTAGTCTAAAAGAGGATTAAAACTTAACAGTGTAAAGTATCCAAAATTAACAATCATAAAGGTGAAATACAAAAAATCTGCTATTGCATATCCTAACCATGTTACAGGCTGGCTACAGGTGTGGCTTACTGTCCCCTACAGTCATCAGTGACTTAATCCATCTTCTATAATCCACCTGTATGTGTAGTTTTTGTTTTACAAAGCAATCACTTACAGGTAGGGGAAAGGTTTTCTCTTTTCTCCCTCATCTCTTGCAGTCTCTTCTCCATGGTGCTCTTGTGATTTCTAATGGGAGTCATGGAGCTGTACACCAATGAGCGAGGAGACTCAAACAGCAGGACAGGAACACCATCATCTGAAAACAGAGTTCAACTTTAAGTTCAAGAAAACTCTTCCACACTGCACCAGCTCCTTTCTTCTAAGACCCACCTCCACCCTTCTGCATTCCTGCTCCCTTTCAGTGCCATTCTCTCTTCCCACAGACAGTACTACCCCCACCATGAATCATGGCACTGGCAGTAGAGCCAGCAGCAAGGTGACCCTTGATGAGCTCTCAGTAAGGGGCATGAATTATTCATCCAGGTATAGCCAGGCACTACTTGATGATAGGTGTTGACATTATGTACAGAGAGATAGTCACTGAGTCACAGGTAAACCAATATCATGTATACAATCACACAACTAGCAAGAAAACGGAGGTGTGGACTGGCTTCTAAAACTGACTTTATATCCAGGTTTCAGAAAGTGTTCCTACCGAACACTGCTCATCCAACAGATACCCACACCCACACATGAATATGAACACAGGAAGTGAGCCCAAGGTGTTTCCCTACAGCAAATTCAAAGCAAATGCTGCCTAAGTTTTGCCTGTTTTAGATAATGAAACAAAAAGACCAGGCATGAGGTAAAAAGGCAACATTAAAGAAAAGAGATTGCTTTTCTCCTGTAATCATTCCTCATATAAGAATTCCATTGACTTAATGAATGATGAGGATTATCTGAACGCCCTTTCTTCCCAGTGGCTCTCTCACAGTTACTACCCAGTCTCCAGCAGGCAGATGGCGCTGTACACTCCTCCCTTCCTCCTTAAAGATACCACAACCCCCATACCTCCAGCTGACCTGCCTCCAGCTGTCAGGACAGAGGACTTGGCTTACCTAGGGTTGTCTTCTGCCTTTGTAGCTCTTCAGCCATTTTCTCAAACTTCTTTTGAAGTCTTTTGTCATTTTCTGGTGTTTTAGGAATAAAATCTTTGGGCTGCATACATTTGTGCTAGGCAAAAAGGTTATCAACATTAATGAAAGTGTATTATGTTCTTTATTGTCTATTTAAAAAGATTTACTTGTGCTGGGCGGTGGTGGCAAATGCCTTTAATCCCAGCATGTAGGAGGCAGAGGCAGGCAGGGATCTGTGACTTCAAGACCAGCCAGGACTATACAGAGAAAAAACTGTCTTGGAAAAAAAAAAAAAAAAAAAAAAAAAAGGTGCCTGTTTTTAATGTGAAAAAATGTTGACCTGAATTTATGTATGTATACCATATGCATGTATGACGGACACAGAGGCCAAACGAGGGTGTCAGATCCCCTGAAACTAGAGTTAGGGACCATTGGGAACCACTGTGTAGGTGCTGGGAAGAGAACCCAGCTAGGTCCTCTGAAAAAGAATGCTGAGCCATCTTCCCAGTCCCTAAGGTTGTTGACTTTTTTAAAACGGGAGAGAAAGCCCTTTCCATACAACGCTGGTAACTTCAATGACATCAAAATTAAAAGAACTTCTTAATGAGTTTTTCACGATACTATATGTGGGCTGGCAATATTTATTTCTGAGGCATTGTTTTGACCAATAGTACAGAATTTAGGAGATGAGGTAAAAGGCTGTATATTAGGCAATGGTTTTCTGAGCTATTTCAGGACGTCAGCATTATCAGCATCTGAGAAGGTTCTCAGAAGCAGCTGAGGCACTCTGCTATTCTCACACTAACTCCCTTCAAATGACACAGTTACTAAAGAAACAAATCATAGTTTCTTGGTCTCAGCTGCTTCTGGCTCTTGTAAGCCCATGCTCCAGTTTTGTTCTTGACTTGCTAGGTAAGGTAAGCAGTTGGTCATTACCACATCCCTTTGTGTCAGGCACCAGTCCTCAGCATTTGAGAGCTCGAACCAAAGTGTTGAGTGACAGAAAAGAGCCTTAACAAACAACTCGGTTGTATTAGTGCTTGCTGGGAGGAGAATGAGTTCAGCAGGCTCACTGCTGCAATGTGAAACTTAACAGTGTACTACTTAACAGTGCTGCTTTGCACAATGAGGACAGCTTGTGCACACTGTTCTGTCAGAAGGATTAGCGGCATGCCTGGAGGACTCTTCCCAGGGGCAGAGTCCATGGGTATGTGGTAAGCAGAGGATAGAAGTTCTACTTGGTGAACTTAGTACTGGGTGTCTTTTTACTACTAGACAAATGGCGGCAGTTAGAACGGGGTTCAGTCGTTTAAAAAACAAAAACAAAACAAAAAAAGGATTCAATATTTCCAAATCCATACAGCATGTTGGAACTTAGGTCACAGGGTGGAATTCAGAACCAGGGCAACAGTCACCAGCAGAAAGACCTACTACTGCAACAGGGAGTGTTCGAGAGGGCTGATGGGTAATGTGACATCTACGCAGAGCTATGGGAAGCTGTATAGTGGGTCTCCAGTGGACTTCAGGGGAGCATGATCCAGACAGAGAGAACAGATAATACTACGATGATGTGACTAAACACTTTCCTGATCATGGTCAGGCTGGGGGCAGACTGACAGGGAAGAGAGCACCTAAAATAATAATGTTTCTCAAGTCATGTTTAACTTGCAATTGCATTTGGAAAAGGGAAGAAAAAGGAAGCTTTTTAAAAGTGGTAAGTATAGGAAAAAGGTAGTCACTATTTGTACATCAGACTAGACAAAGCTTAAATACAAAAACACCGGACATGAGAACTGTATACTTCCAGCTGAGTAAAAGAAGAGGCTATGGGAAAACAAAAAGAAGAGGAGGAGGAGAAGGAGGTACAAAAAAGAAAGAGGTACCTGGCACACTATTGATGTAATCTCCAAATCTAAGGCTATTTGCACATGGAGCCAGCAATTCTACTTCTATGTTTGTGAGCACAAGAAGTAAATGCACATTTCACATGTAACATGCTTCAGTAAAAACTGTGAGTATATCTATCTATGTGCATACATATTTGTGTGAGTGTGTGTGCATAACATAAGGAAGGCCTATTTGCAATATAAAGTGAAATTAAGGTGATCAAAGTCACACTATTAAAAGGTGGCCTGGCAAACTGAACACCGAACTCAGCAGAGCTTCACTGTGCAGAGCAGGCTTGTGTGCTACCACGTAGTGAGTACTTCAGACTCTTATCCAGGTCCCTAGTCAATCTGAAGTGTCAGAGGGAAGAAACATCAGAGATGCCTGCTGTGCCTGAGTTTACCAAGTGTGTTAAATGAAAACAGCATGTACTGCTGATGTGTTTTTCCAAGTCCTTTACTTGGGCATGTCACAGTCAAGAACTGCCTAGAATCAGATGAGGAAGTCTGAAGAAGCCTTAGGGGAGCATCCTCATCACTGCCCTGATGCCTGGCTTACTGCGAGAACGTAAAGGATGCACATCATACAGTATCTTCTAAAAGTACAGAGAAGCCCACAGCCACAGCCGCTGCCGCCGCCGCCTCAGCCTCCTCCTCCTCCTCCTCCTCCTCTTCTTTTTGTTTTCCCATAGCCTCTTCTTTTACTCAGCTGGAAGTATACAGTTCTCATCTACCTCATTCCATCTTGATTAGGTCACCAGTGGTTTTTGTGTGAGAACAAAGTGCTTTGATACTTCACAGTGAGCTACACCCAAGCAAAGAAAACCTAGGGGGCTGGAGAGATGGCTCGGCAGTTGAGAGCACTGACTGCTCTTGCGGAGGACCTGGGTTCAATCCCCAGCACCTATTTGGTGGACCACAACCAACTCTAGCTCCAGGGGATCCAATGCCCTCTTCTGGACTCCATGGGCACCAGATTTGCATGTAAAAAATAGACACAGATGCAGGCAAAACATACAAACACAAAAAATAAAAATTAAAAAAATAAAAGAAACACCAAATACAGAAGGCTGCCTAGTCTTGTGGCAAGTTTTAATTTCCCATGGCCAACTACAGTCTCTTCCACTTCCTGTGTATTACATTAAAGCATTCACATACTAAAAATCTTTATAGCTAACTAGAAACTTTATGTGAGATAGCAATGAGTTCAACGGCAACTGAAGATACTCTCAACAATACCTGCAAAAATGTGATTTCTAGAATAAAAAACCAAGGGTGCATACATTCATAATTGCCCCTGTCTGCACCGAAATTACATACTTACTTTTTTTCTAATTAGGCTTGGTAATTCTTCATCAGTATTCACCGCAGGGAACAAAGACTCATCAACATGTGCTCCAGCCATCCTGCATCTATAGAACCAAGTCAGTCCAGTGAGTAACTGTCTTTGCTATAACATATAGCATGAAAACTGCATATGTATCAGGCAGCAGGTTCAAAAGTTAATATATTTTACAATATTATATAAGTACATAAAATGCCAATTATAAGCTGGTATAAATTAGATTTTCCAAAATCTTCTTTCTCTACATGGTCTCCCTTGCCCCAATGCAAAAGCAGAAGAGGGTCAGAAGTATGAGTGCATGCCTGTAATCCAAGCACTTGGCAAGTGGTGAGGAAGGAGGGTACATTTCCTTATGCCCTGAGAGACTGAGAGAGTGGCTCAGTGTTAGGGTGTTTGTACAGCAAGTGAGACACACTGGGTTCAATGACAAGCACTGCCAAAATAAAATCAGCACTCCTCACCTGCCTTCACTCCCTACACTGGAGACGCAGGAAGCAGTGAACTAGAGAGAGATTGGGGGCAGGGATTAGATATATACCCAGAGATTGAGACATGACCAGGGGCTAGATATATACCCAGGCTGACAGACTCAAGATTAAGAGGCTGTGGAGATATGTGTCACATATGAGAGCAAGCCTAGAGGTGAGATTATCCGTGGGCACCCTGAAAGCAATACCCTAAGAGGGAAGCACCCTCCAAACTCCATAGGTGAGCAACAACATTGGAAATTTCTGCTGAGCTCAGAACCAAGTAATCATGGTCCTGATCTAAAACTTGGTGAAGACCATGGAAGCAGATAGGAACAGAGGCGGTCAGAGCCCAGATAAGAACATGTCCAGACAACAAGGTAAACAATAACATAGGCACGGCCACACCAGTACCTTGGACTTAAGATTCACTAACCCAAGTAGGGAAGTGTTAACATCTAATACATGTGTGACAATGACACGGAAATTTCCTAACAGCAGCATTCCTCCATTTAGAAGACTAGAAAAAGACTCAAGGACGGTCTGACACCTACTGGCAGAAGAGCAGAAACTCAACCTAAAAGGTCATTTGTTTGAACACTGCATACCCACAAATCTGATATCAAAGTCTGAACTAGAGCAAACTGCATCTTTCTCACCAGTAATGTGCCACATGAGACATCACAGGGAGGGACTCAAAACCCACCCCAACAAGGAAGAAATACTGACTGATACAGTTTTAACATCATCTTCACTTTGTTTTTCAATTTTCATTCTTAGAGAAATATCTTTTTACATTTATTTTTGCTTTATTTTATGAGTACGAGTGTTTTGTCTGTATGTTTATCTGTGCACTACTTGTGTGCCTCGTATCCATAGAGACAAGAATAAGGCATGAGACAGTGTGAGCTGCCATGTGGGTACTGGGAATTGAACCCAGGTCCTCTATAAGAACAGTCAGTCCTGGACACATGGGGAAGGGCCTAGGCCTGGCCCAGGATGATGTGGTAGACTTTGGCCCTTTTGAGGGCCTTACCCTGCCTGGTGAGTGGAGGGGGGATGGCTAGGGGCAGGTGGGAGAGTCAGTGTTCTTAACCTCTGAGCCATCTCTCTGGCCTGCAAAAATATGTTAATGGTCATGCTTTGATTTTGGTATTGGTTGATTATATTCATTTTATACATAGCCCAGTCTCTCTTCTCATTCCTACCTCATTTCTTCTCTCTCCTTCACCATTCTCCCCTTTTGACTTAATTCTATCCTTATGTAGCTGTAAGAATCTTTAAACTCTAGATCCTAACAGTATCCAGGTTTCTACTTCCCACTCATTATTTTTCCTCAGTTGATCTAATACTCATCATCATCCTTACCCAGCCTATTTCCCTTCCATTCCTAACCTTAGTAACAAGTTATCTTTTTGTCTACTATACAATCCTTGCCCCGTTTATCTCTGAATAGTTACTGAAGTTAGAGGAACAACTTGATTAACTACTACAATGTGTGGTGAGCCTCTCTAGCAGTATTGGCTGCTTTTGCAGCTACTGCTGCTCCCTAATGGTGGTATGGGAGGAGGTGATTGACAACGAGAGCTCTTGAATTAGGAGTGTGGTATAGTTCACTAACTATACCCTCAATCTTACTACAAACCAGTCCCATTTGAGCATGCACATATTTCAAGTAAAAGAATACAGCTAATAAAGCCAGGCATGGTGGCTCATGATTTTAATACCAGCACTTAGGAGGTGCAGGTAGACAGATCTCATAGAGTTCATGGTCAGTCTAGTCTATACAGTAAGTTCCAGGTCTGCCAGAGTTACATAAGACCCTGTCTCAAAAAGAGAACAGAGAAGTCTTAAAGTTTTAGCAAGGGCAATAAGACTAGAGAAATAAATAAAAAGGATACAGATAGAAGAGGAAGAAGTCAGTGTTCTTATTTGTAGAAGATATGATCCTACACAAAAGGGTATTGTAAAACTCTGGATAAACACTTTCAGCAAAGTGGCAGATACAAAATCAACATAAAAAAACAAATTAGTAGCCTTCCTATATATTATCACCAACACTGAGAAAGATCAGGCAGACAATCCCAATTAGGAGAAACTACCACACAAAGAGTTCTGGTTCCCTGAGGATGAAGTGTCTCCCTCAGAGCTTGCCTCCTGCTCCTGTGGGCTCTATCTAAGGAAAGATGGGTGGTCACAGACAGATCACCTGAAGAATGGGTTCCAGGTACAAGAGAGTAACCAAGGACACTGTACTAACCAGGGTAGAAGCCACTGGAGGTTCACAGAACAGTGCAGGCACAGTGGGGCTGGAACATAACTAAGCAATGTTTAGATAGTAAAAACAGGTTCTGGACCTCTGGGTAAAAGGACAGAGCAGATGCATGATTTTCTCTTGTTCCCCTGAATCCCAATAAAACAACAGTAAAGGAAAATAAAAAAGGACATAAACCAACAAAAATGAGGAGGAGGTTAAGAGCTGCCTGGGGAGCTGGAAAGTAAATAAAGGAAACCCAGGCCCAGCAGAGGGGTAGGGGAGTCAAGGACTTCAGATTCTCCCAGTCTTTGGGTGTGTGTAGGGGGAGATGGGGACTCAACAGAACAAATGGAACAAAGCAGGGAAAACAGGTATGGACATGAGTAACTAGCCATACCCATTCCCCTAACACCCAGGTAGAGGCTGTGGGTCCATGTTAGACAACTAGAACCCAAAAGTTTTGGACACAGTGAAGGCAGGCAGAACTCAGAGAAGGAAAATACTATACTACATGACAGGAAGTGTGTTCACGGAAGACTCAAGATCCAACTACCTACCTCCTATCAGAACTGTATCATGCACATTGGTATAAAGAGAAAGAATGTTTGTGTGCAAGGAATGCATATGTGTCTGTGGGAGCTGGGCACCCTGAAAGGGACTAGTTAAAAACAAACTTCCTGTGGTTGGAGAGATGGCTCAGCCGGTAAGAACACTAGATCAGTCTGAGCACCTACATGGTGACTCACAATCATCTGTAACTACAGATGATTAGACCTGATGCCCCCTTCCCGCCTCTGGGGCACTGCATGCATGTGATGTACATGCATATACACAGGCACTCACACATGTAAATAAAAATAAATAAATCTTGGGGCTGGTGAGATGGCTCAACAGTTAAGAGCACAGGCTACTACTCTTCTAGAGGATCCTGGTTCAATTCCCAGAACCACATAGCAACTCACAACTGTCTGTAGTTCCACTTCCAGGGTATCTGATACCCTAACACAGACTTGCAGGCAGGCAAAACAACCAATGCTTATTAAAATAAAAATAAAAACAAAAATAAATAATTAAAAAAACAGAAAACTATTAAAAAATAAATCTTAAAAACCAATACCAGATAATGTCCACAGTAGATCAAGCCGTGTGTGTGTGTGTGTGTGTGTGTGTGTGTGTGTGTGTGTGTGTGTGTGTGTGTGTGGGGGGGGGGGGGGGGAGCAGAAAGGCTGAAAGAAATGACTGCCTCTCCCCTGTAACTAGTGTTAGTTGAACAAGGGATCTTGGACTGTGTAAAACGGGGAGAGCAGGCTGAGCTGTAGCACACATGACTAATTGCTCTCTATTCTTGACTGTGGATGTAACAGAACTAATTCTCTCATCCCCATCCCCTGCTGCTGTGACTTTCCTGCCACAATGGACTGTATCCTGGAATTGTGAGTTCAACAAACCTTGTCTCCCTAAGTTGCTTTTGTCAGGGTATTTTTAATCACAGCAACAGAAAAGAAACTAGAGAGAGAGAGAGAGAGAGAGAAGGCGTGTGTGTGTGTATATCCATATAATCAATTTTTGGTCAGAAAAAGGAAGCAAATAAAAACGACAACATTATGGACCTTGCTAAGAAGCCACCTCAGGTGTTGCCATACTATGTGACTACATTTATACAAAATGCCCATAACTGGAAAACTATACAGGCAGAGTACACAAACAGTTGCTGAGGCTTCAGACATGGGCAGTGATGGCTAAAGGCACAGGCTTTGATTGAAGGTATAAAATAGAATTGTGGAAATGGCTGCACAACTCTTGGAGCTATGTTTGAAAGCAGTGAACTGTATACTTTAACTGAGAAAATTATATGGTACGTAAATTAGAACTTATGAGAGATTGCTATATATCTACTCTTCATAGCTAAATTCCGATGATAGACAAATCCCAAGCATAGGTGAAAGCATGGAACAAAAGAACACTCACACTGCTGCAGGAATGTAAAACCATGTGGCCATCTTCTCTGGGTAATAAACTATGGGAAATGAAAACACAGAAAGGCACAAACACAGATCTCCATAACAACTTCATTCATAGTAACCAAAAATGGAAAACTGCTCAAATTTCTACCACTGGCAAACACACCGTGGTATGTACATGCAATAGATACTACTTGGCTAAACAAATGAAAGGAAACTATTGCTGCATAAGTTATGGAGAAATCTCTAAAATATCACATTGACTGAAGGAAGCCAAGCAGTCAATGCTGGCTTCTGCATCTGCCTGGGATCCTACAGCAGGGAAATTAACTTCTGTCTACAGAGGCTGCTCTGGGATAGGGGATGGAGAGAAGGAAGCTGACCACAAAGGGGCAGGTGGTACTCCGAAGGGTTATAAAACCCCTATATTTTGAGTTTGGTGGTTATGATGTAACACATTGATCTGTAAACTTAAATGGGTACATTTTGAGACACATTGTACCCCAGGTTATTTGGAACTAGTTATATAGCCCAACCTGGCCTTGAACTCTCAGTGATCCTCCTGTCTTAGCCTCCCAAGTTACAGACATGAGCCACCACATTTGGTTTAAGCTATACATTTACAAAGCTGGTTTTAAGTAACAATCCCATTATTTAAGCCTCCAGAAGCCCATAGCTTTAGGAATGGTCCTAACAGAAGAGCTGGGTGTACTGGCTCGTGCCAGTACATTGGGAAGGCAGAGGCACAAAGACTGCTACCCAACCTGAGCTACAGATACATACATGATCAGATGAGAGAAGGTTGGAGATGAAAGGGGAAAAAAACAAAACAAACGAGAAAAGCTAGTAAGAGTGGTCAAAGAGCAGCAGGAGGGAAATGTCTCTGAAGTGTTTCTTCTCTAGCCTGGTTATGAGTTTAATCCTGAGTTGTTCTTACCAGCTTGTTCTCACTCAAGAAAAATGTCAGTAAAAGGAGGGAACTGGTGGGAACTCCTCTGAATATGAGAGAAACTGAACCTAGGGATCCTATTACCACATATAGAATACCCCAGTCACTGTAAGGACGAGGTCAGATAGTTTGGGGATGTCTGCACCAGGTCTAGTGTGTAAGCACTGCCACCTCCCTTCTGGGTTACAAACTAAGTTTAGCTCACAGACCAACTGTCCAAGTTTGTAAAATTATTATAAACATGTTTTATAGCTAATAGTTTGGGGAAAGGGTTGATTCTTATCAGCAAAACTTGTGCCTGGTCTAGGGGACAGTTATAGAAGATATGTTTTGCCTAACTTTAGATTAAGTATCTCAATAACTCACCTATAGGAGTGACAGGCTCAGATTCAGAATTTAGTCAGTTCATACATGAAGTAAAACATGATGTCAGTAACAAATATAGGAAAGGGACTTGCATGATCACACAGGTGTTAAGGTATGAAGCTACTCAGTAAAAACTCACACTGAACTAGGCACTATTATAAACATCTTTAATCCCAGGACTCTGAAGGCAGAGGCAGGTGACTCTCTGTGAGTTCAAGGCCAGCATGAGATATATATATCCAAGCCAGCTCAAGCTACAAAGCAAGACCTTGTCTCAAAAACAAAAACAAGGTCTAGAGAGATGAGACAGTAGTTAAAGACATGTAATGTTTTTCCAGTGGACTGGAACTCCAGTCCTAGTGTGTATGTCAGGCAGGTTACAACCGGCTCTAACTCCAACTCCAAAGAGATCTGATGCCTCTGGCCTCCCTGGGTAACAACTCACATGCACATACCCACACAGACATGTAATTAAAAATAATAAAAACCAAACTGCACTGATAACAAAAAGCTTCACATTTACCTGGCACCCCATCAATACTAGAAGTCTAAAAGCTAGACTTCTAGTATTTTTCAGAAATGCAAAATGGTAACAACAGCACCCCATCTAGTGGCCAAGGCGAAACAGTGTTTCAAGTTGTCAGGACAACAATGTCTGTAGCCCAGGGAGGCCACAGTGGCTTCCTTCCCACTAGGAAGGCTTCTCCCTAAGAGATAACCTATAATTCCCACTCTCACCAGGGTCAGCCCGGCTGCTCCCTCACAGCCTCCAAACTGTTGCCCTTTACCCCTTAAAACAATCAGTGAGGCACCTAAGCAACAGTGTATTATTTTTGAACAGGGGCATATGGCATTGGGTACTGGGCATATCTGAAAATTCACTTGGCTAGCACAGCTATCCCCCTGGGACTCAAGGAAGAGCACAGGAAGGAGTGTTTGAAGGGTGTCTATGCAGAGAAAACACAGGTGGAGCTGTGGAGCTGGACTAGGATCTGAGTTCCAGGTACTGAATACAGGCTGTACCCAGTGAGGGTCAGAAGAAATCAGAGTGGCTCCACACCAGTCTCCATCGTTCCCCAGGCTGGTGGGATCCAGACCAGAATCATTACAGGACACAGGACTATGTTCTTAGAATATTGTTGGAGGAAACTATAGCTGAACTAGGTGCTAAAAAAGGAAAGGCAAATATGCAATTGTACAAAGAAAGGCATTTGTGGAAATACAATAGTGTCTGCTAGTCACCTGAAGTTTGCCAGGCCCATTTTTCATGTCACATTAGAAGCCAAATTGCTCTCGACCTTCTGTAAGCCTAATGCCACCTACATCCATCTTACCTCTTCTAAGAGGATGCACATACTAGCTAGAGGCATGCCGAGACTCTGCAAAGGGTAGCCAGATAATGAGTCTTACAGCAGTGGACTTGCTGATCACCACTCTGTCACGCACTGCTTTGTAAAGTGGTCCCTGCAAGTTCCTCATGTTCTCTGTCCCTTGCATCTTCATGCACTTGCCAGCCTCACTGACTCCTAAGCGTCACTCCTCCACAGGCCTAGGTCCTAGATCTGCAGCAAGCAGTCTTAGACCTTCCTTTAAGAGACTGATAACAGTTAATGGATGAATTTCAATTTTTTTTAATGTGTGTTAGTGACTGTTTTAAAATTTTAACTTATGAACAATATTCTCCAAAAGACCCAGGAGATGACAGCCAGGTTGATCTTTAATTACTCTGTCTTCATCTTTTGTTTTCTTAGATATAAAATTTTCTATTGTCCAAAGGAAAGGTCATTTTCACCAGAGCCTGTTACAGTCTGAAACCTGGTGCCCAATAGACCCTGCACAATGGGACATTAGAAGCCACATTAGATGACCACAGCCAAAGAAAAACTGATGAGTGACCCTGGGCAGTTAAAAAGAGAAGTCAGACCAGTGATTAACAGAGGTCATTTCAGCTCATTTAAAGTTAGAAAAAATTAGAATAAAAACAATACTTTTTACTGACAAATTAAGACATAGCTTTTCATATTCCTTGAAAGAGTAGAAATTAAAGTATTCTTTCCAGTAAAATTTGGTACTATCTACCACAAATGTACAAGCCCCTTTGAGCTAAAAACCCAATTTCTGGCATTTAAACCTGCAGAAAGACATATCTATAGAACAGTAATGTATACAGAGGTCCAATGATTCTGACTAGAAACAGGAATTAAATAAAAATGTCATATCAGACCAGTTATGCATTTCCTGCATCTCTAATACAAAGGGCTTTTTTTTTCCTTCTTGGAGACTGGGTCTCAGAGTCCACACTGTCTCAAACAACTCTTCTTATATAGTAGAAGATGAATTTGAACTCTGATCCTCCTCCTGCCTCTATCCCCCTCCCCTGACTTTAGACCCCAAGTTGGGAGTACTGGGATTGTTATCACACTTGGGGGTTCCAATCTGTGCCCGAAATCCAGTTTGGCTACCCAAATTTGATAAGCCAATTAAGACACTTAAAAGCAGAAAGCAGTTGTACTCAATGTCCACACAAATTTTTCTGCTTCACCAAGTAGAGGTATAAAGCAACAGACGTCTGAAGTATACAGCTTCCAGAGCTGTGAGAAAAATAAGCTCCTACTATGACAACCTAATGCTACCTAATGTTAACAGCAACAATACACAGTGCTCTGTCACACTCTCCATGTCTCCTGCACATCCAAGGCACACGGCTGCCTTAGGCCTTCATACTCACCCTCTCTTTACACGGAAACAGCACTTCATCTATTTTTCAGCTGCAGAAACTAAGACTTAAAGATTATTAAGGTAGTTGCCTCCAAAGAAGGCCAAGGAAAGATGAAAATAAAATATTATCAAATTCTGACCCAGGCAAAGCCTTAAAACTAGATCTTGACCAGTCTTAGAAAACCGTAGGAGAAAAATAGAGGACAACTACTTACTTTTCAACCCAGAGGACGGAAACCAGCTTTGCCCCTGTCTTACGGGCTTTGTCCCAGGTACTTTGATACCCATCTTTGAAGATCACATGGGTCACTTGCTTGTTCAAAGTTTTTGAAACCTGTGGACAAAATCCAAAAAACAAATAACTCACTGCTATCTATTCATAATTTCTTAAATAAAGTGATCAAAAAGAACATTGTTCAAAATTTGTCAAAATGAAATGATCAAAACCCTTACCCAAGAATTTCACTTGTCACAATGCACCAGAAAAAAAATACTGTGGTGGATGTGGAAAGTTGTTTTTTCATGGCATGTTGGTACACAACTTTGATTCTAGACCTTAGGAGGCACAAGCAGGAGGCTCTCTCTGAATTTGTGGTCAGCCTCATCCACACAGAGTTCCAGGTCAGCCAGAGCTACATAGTAAGACCTTGTCTCAATCTCTCCTCACCAAAATACATTTGCTGCAATCAGAATGAGGGTTGGCGTTCAAGTCACTCTTACCTCCCAATAAAGCTTCAGCTCCTGTCACCCTTACTCCAACAATAAAGCTTCTAAGCATAGAACAGAGTAGGAATCCTTCAAGGATAAAGAGAATGGGGAAGACCAAACCAGGAGGAGCCCCTGAGGATAAAGTGCAAGGAAAAGAAAAATGGATAGGAGAAGGCACCGCTTATTTACAGCTGAAAAGACTGGGAGACACAACAAGGATGTTTGAAAACAATCTTCATCTTTTAACCTCCACACATGAGTTGTGGCATGTGGGGCACATGCATAGGCACACACACCTTACATTTTTTTGAACTTGCCATGGTTAGGCTGTGGGCATAACTCGGTTGGTAGAGTGCTTGCCTAGCACACACAAAGAACAGGGTTCTATCCTCCCACCGTTTTTAAAAGCCAGGTATGGTGGTAAACACCTGTAATCCTAGTGCTTTGGTGGAGACAGGAGAACCACATAGTTAAGGCCATCTTCTGCTACATAGCCAGTTCTAGACCAGCCTAAGTACATGAGACCCTCTCTCACTAAGTCAGTAAATAAATAAATAAATAAATAAATAAAATTCCTCTACATTAAAGAGAGACAGTATAATTTGGAGGAAACAGTAAGGAGAATAAGTATCTAATTAAAATTAAAAACAGTATTTTGAGACAATGTAATATTTATGTGATAAGATCAGATAATTCAAAGGAGTCAAGACCTAAAGTTACTACAAATTTAAGAATAGAAAAAAAAATCCATAGAAACAGTAGACAGCCAGGTAAAGAAAATCTCCCCAGCAACAGAGCAAACAGAGAATAGGTAACAGGGAAAGCCAGGACCATAAAAAACACAGATCATGATCCCAAGTTATGGGGTTAAAATATAACAAATTGGGGAAATGAAACAAATTATAAAAAGACCTGCATTCTGGATCAAAAGACCCTTGTAAGGCATGGCACAAGCGTGAGCAATGCTCCACACCAATCACATAACCTGGCTTGGTTACTAACTATTGCTGTTAAGAAACAAAACATCACGACCAATGTAACTTGGAAGGAAAGGGTTTGTCTTCTCCTCTCTCTTCCCAGAGACAGGGTTCCTCTGTGTAGCCCTGGATGTCCTGGAACTCTGTAGAACAAGCTGGCCTTGAACTCAGGAATGTGCCTGCCTCTGTCTCCCAAGTGCTGCTTATTGGCTTACTCCCACTGGCTTGCTTAAAGAACTCAGGACCACCAGCCCGGGGTGGCACCTCCCACAATGGGCTGGACCCGCCTCCATCAATCACTAATTAAGAAAATACACTACAGGCTTACCTATAGTCTGAACTTAATGGAGTAATTTCTCAATTGAGCTTCCCTCCTCTGAGATGACTTTAGCTTGTGTCAAGCTGACATAAAACTATCCAGTACACATGCCATCATTTCAAGCAATGAGAAGTAACAACTAGATCAGACACTAACGAATAGCAATCTGAAGTCAGAAGATAATGTAGAAGCTGGGCACGGTGGCACAAGCCTGCAATCCTAGCACTTCAGAGACTGAGGTAGGAGGATCACTATGAGACTGAATACGTGGCATAGTGAGACTTTGTGTAAAAAGGTAATGAATACATTCCTTCAGGGACAAAGACTGCATGATAATATTTTTCAATCAGCTAAAATACTAAGTCGAGTCATACATACAGCCACGTCAAAATATGCCTTTTGGGACTGGGGAGGTGGCTCAGTCGTAAAGTGTCTGCTTTGCAAATACTGATATCCTTGGTTTGTGTTATGGAATATTATTTTCAGATGTGTTACATTTGTCTATTCTGTGGATCATTTGTTTAATGATGCAAAGATGTGTTGCATTCTTTTATGTTGCATTTGTCTTTAACTCTGTGAGGTTGTGTTACTGTGCCTGTCTAAAACACCAGATTGGTATAATAAAGAGCTGAATGGCCAATAGCAAGGCAGGAAAAAGATAGGCAGGGCTGCCAGGCAGAGAGAATAAATGGGATGAGAAATCTGGGAAAAAGAGAAGAAGCAAGAGGAAGGAGGAGGATAACAGGGGCCAGATACACAGCAAGCCAAAGAGTAAGAAGTAAAGAAAGGTATACAGAATAGAGAAAAAGAAAAGCCCAGAGGCAAAAGATAATTTAAGAAAAGCTGGTAATGGGGGCTGGAGAGATGGCTCAGTGGTTAAGAGCACTGGCTGCTCTTCTAGAGAACCCAAGTTCAACTATTTGTGTATTTATTTGGAGCTGGGTGGCAGGTCCTCCCAAAAGTAAAAGAGACAACAAAACAAAACAAAAACCAACTGCAAGTTTGATTTGCTGAATTTGTGTAAAAAGTCAGACATGGTGGTTCATGCTTGTAATCCCAGCACTGGAGAGGCTTGAACCTATGGTATTAAGCATGCTAGGCAGGTATTCTACTACTAAATCTTATATCTACATCTCCAACCCTTTCTGTTTTTATTTTTTTAAACTGTGATACAGGATTTGATAAGGTACTTTCATCTTGGTTATATGCCTCATTCTCTCAAGTAGCTGGGATACTGTCCTGTACTACTGGGCCAGCTCATGGGTGTGTATGCATAGATAGGGCTTTGTACTATCTGTAAGTTCAGGCATCCTGTGGTTGGGGGGGAATAAGGATGGTGTTCTTGGACTTTATCCACCTTAGAAAGTACTGTACACTGGAAATATGAAAGCAAATATAAAAAGGAAGAGATTAAAAACAACATTTGGGGTCTGGTGACATGCTTTAGTGGGTAAAGGGAGGCACTTGCACCAGCAAGCTTGATGACTTACACGTGTTCTTCAGGCACTGCATGGTAGGAGGCGACCTCAAGCTGTCTTCTGACCACATATATGCCATGTGCTCTTGTCCTCCACCCACATGTTTAAAAACTTTTTTAAATGATTATCTTTCCAGAACCACAAAGAGACTGGGGACCTAGCTCACTGATGGTGTAGTAGTATTCGTGAGACTAAGAATTCTCTCCCAGCACAAAAGGAGCACAGAGCAAAGGACAGCTGGCTTCTCTGGGACTTCATTACAGATCTCACAGCCTGTAGAGTAGTAATTTTTTTGTTTGTTTTTTTTTAAACAATGCACAGGTGTTACGTTTGTGCACAATCATTCTCAAGGCAATCAGAAAGAGCTCAGCCTAGCAGCTGGGGACACTACCCCCCGAGGTTTTCACATTATCAGACAATAAACAGCACCTGTATGCCTTTAACAGAAGATGATCTGGAAAAAAAATCCCACACCTTGGATTGGGCTGCCACAGACTATATCTACACAGATGCATGAGCCAGAATTTACACTCCGACCTTCCTAAAATGAAACTCTACTTGGTGTCTCACATGTCAATGTAACAAAACATGCTGTGCCTCTTCAATGGAAAATACGTTGGCCTTCCACACAGAAAGTCCCTGGTTTATCAGGGTTTTACTTAGGGTTGTTTTATTTTGAGGTCATGGGAAATGGTATTTTGTAAGCTGGCTATGTACTGTAGGATATGGGTTACATCTCATGATGCAAAGAACAGCAATTCTCAATCAGTCCAAAGAGCCACAGTTCCATACACACAGGGCTAAGCTGTGTGATTAAATACATTTTCAATTGACAAGATTTTCTTTTTTACAGGGGTATAATAGGCTTTAACTCCATTATAGGTGGCAGCTCATCTGTGCCTATTCCGCTATTCTAAGTCTTTGACCTAACTTCACATGGATTAGGGTGGCTGAGCAAGGCAGGTACTGCTCTAACACCAATGCTTACTTACACTGCCTTGAGTTATCTATCCTGTCACCTACTTTATCCACTTCATGTAGCCTATCAGTGAGCGGTCCCTGAAGACCAATTTGTAAGCACACTTTGTTCAAAGCAAAACTCCTTACCAGAGCACTGTCTCCATTTCCCCCTAAGCCAGGGTTCTTAGACTCACCTCAAAACCCCTTTATCTCTATAATGGGAAAGTGAACTAAGAAAATCCCCTTAAGAGTTTGTAAACCTCAAGTATATTTTACCTTTCCTGGGGGCTCTTTTGTTCTGAATCCCCATCTTTTGTTTTTGTTTGTTTGTGTTTTGAAACAGGGTTTCTCTGTGTAGCTATAGCTATGGCTGTCCTGGAACCCACTATGTAGACCAGGCTGGCCTTGAACCAGAAACTAACCTGCCTCTGTCTCCCAAATGCTGGGATTAATGGAGTAAATCACCAATACCTGGCTGAATCCCCACCTTTTAAATTCTTCCATACTTGCTTCCACATTTTTCTCTCTCTTGTTCCTGGCTTGGTGGTCAGGCCATCACTGGTCCTTAAATATTCAAAAGGCCACCTCCTTCAGTACTATTCACTCTAATCGGAATCTGAGTAAGGCCAACATTTTCTCCTGATCCCAGAGATCTTGGTGCCACATCACAATCTATAGCTGTGACTGCCTCAAGCTGTAGATATGGATAGTCAAGTGGCTATGAGATGTTTCCAGTAAGTAAGGCCACAGCCTTCCCTTAGGAACTTGCATTCTCCTGTATCTTTATTCTTTTGTCTCCAAGTACCAGTCCTTACAGAATCAATGCCAGATTCCTGCTTCCTCCTAGATTTCTCCTCACACTCTCCAAAACCATCTGCTCTGTAAGCACTACTGCCCAACTCCTATTTCATTTCTTTGTTTTGTCTCCCACCACTCACCCACTGCCATGTCCTTCATGTTCTAAGGAACAGCTCCCCTAACAAGAAAATACCAGCGGGCTATCAATCATTCTGATATTAATTTCTTACCGTTGCCCCCATATCCTCAAGTTGTTTTGTAAATGTCTTTGAATAATTTTCTGTACCGTTGGAAGACCATACTTCAACATAGGCCACAACATCTGAAAATAAGCAAGACATTAGCAGGAGGAAATACACACTGGAAATTGTGTTTTTCTCTAGTTCTATTTATGTTAAGAAAATATATGAAAATTTCTATTAGGAATCTATTCAAAATATTGTCACTGCTACTACTTTGGTGGTACTTAAAATCTTCCTAACCTGGGCTTAATTATCCTGAATTCTGCTTTCTGTAAAGAAACAGTAATTATTCCAGGCTTTCTGGGCCAGACTATCTTCCAACAACTCAATTTCATGGCCATAACATAGGCAGTAGTTTAACAATCCAATATAGCTTTGTTATAGTAAAATTTTGTTTGTGGAGCATATTAGCACATGCCTGTAACCTTAGCATTTAGGGATTAGGCAAGAGGATCAAGAGTTCTAGGCCAGTCTCAGCTATAGAGCAAGTTGGAGGCCAGCTTAGGCTGCAGGAGACCTTGTCTTAAAAAAGAATATATGGAGAAGGAAATTAGATGCATATAGTTTTCACCTGCCATTCTTCATTGCTTTTCACATCTAAACTCTGAAGAAGGGCTGGAGATGCAGCACAGTTGGTAGACTGCTTATTTGGCATGCAGTAGGTCTTGGGTTTTAAGCCTACTACAACACAAACAAGGTATGGAAGCCCACACCTTTAATCCCATCTCTAGGGCAGGAGGATCAGAAAGTCAAGGTCAGCCTCAGCTGCCTAAGAAGTATTGTAGGTTAGCATTGGTTAGAGACTGACTGTCTCCAAAACCAAATTATTTTTTTCTTCAAGAGTCCCACTTCTAAGTAATGGTGGTGAAACAAATGCAATACCTGGTTCTGTTACAAAATACTATAGTAACACTAGAAAAACAGTCACCCCTGGTAACAGAATTGTGCAAACAGCTGGTCTGTCTGTTCTTTCAGCTCTCACACTCCAAGTCCCTTCACACAGAGCTTTCCTCAAAGCCAAACTCTGCCAGCATCAGCACAGCACAGCCCTCAGTTTGTGGAGTCATGCCCGTGAACAGGCATCCTGGGGGCTCAACCGTGAGGACCCTAATAAGCAAAGGAGGAACAAGCCTTGCTCTCCTTACCAGAGAAATGAAGGGAGTTTTTGGCACGACAAAAGTAAGCGTTCCACAAGTGTCAGCTCTGAGTAGGGCCCACCGAGAGGCCACTCTCATTATTACTAAAAGAATTACTTTTGCTCTTCCCACAAGTGCCCAAGCCCTAGAGATGACGTTCTCAGAAAGCTAAGATAGGACCTGATTCCTGCCAGCTACCCAGCGCTCAGGACGCACAGTGGGCGGGGAGAGGGGGCCATAGGTGCCATGGCAGAGACTCCGAGAGAGGTGAAGGCCACATAGAGACTAGGGTGGATGGTCCACACAACTTGGTTAGGACCCTGAGTCAAGAGGACCCAGGTGGCCCAGGAAGGGCTTCCGAGCACGCGTCAGGCAGACAACCCCCCCCCCACTGGGCGTGTCTCCTCACCTTTCAGGAAGGCGCCCCCAGCGGCTCCCGAGGTCTCCATGACCCGGCGTGCGACCGGACCGAGCGTGCGCGGGCAGGAAGGCAGAGGGGTGCGCATGCGCAGGCCGCGCCCCCGGGGGCTCGGGACCGGGCGTGTGTGGTGGAAGCGACTCCGGTTTCTTTCCTTCCCTCTTCGCGTACTCTAGGCTCCGTGACACACCGCATCAAAGTCCTTGCTCCCTCCAGGAAGCCTCTGAAGCTATCTGCGGCACCCGGCGACTGCGGGCGGCGCCCTGGCTAGAGTCGGT